AACCGACATTCTCCAGCACTTCATTTGACATCTCATTGTGAGTTTCCTGATTATCGTGACCTTCGAGAATATCCGAAAAATCGACGCCCGACAATCGCACTTCCTCTCTTAACCTCTTGAGCTCAAGTGTAGCATAAGATCCAAGAGAGAAATTTGCATACGAGAGATTTCTCTTTGCCAAAATCTGCGCAGTACCTCCCGACTCGGGTTCATTCGCAAGTAAAGCTGAAATATCAGCGTCTGCATTACCAGTCCCTGCTGGAAATAACCCACCACGAGCGCAAGCTGCGATCGCAGTCGGTATCGAATCTTGTTGGTCATGCGCAGCGCCGGTAGCGGTTACAGCCGGAACCTGCCACTGAATAGCACTTGCCATCCCGCCACCAGCTGCAGACTTTGATTCTTCATGTTGCTGGGTGAGACGGGAAACCATGATCTTTCTGCCGTTCACATGACTGTGCTCGTAGTGCTTTAGAAACTGATCAAACGACGCATGTACTTCTCCACAACACGGTATATTGCGCTGTCCGTCACCACTGGGTTTCCGAGCATGTTCGCCAAATGTGGCAGCATTGGACATCAGACTTGTCCGTAACGGAGACGCCGCCGTCGCAAGTGGAAAGCGTGGCGAAGTGGACATTGTCGGTGTCGTACCGAACATGCTACTCAGGGGAGACCCAGCTAGGGCAGAAGAAGGCCAGCGCGGGGAAGGTGGAGCACTCCATATAGCCGTTTGGTGGTGCGAGTCGACCATATCGACGGGAGCGTAATTTCTTGCATGGCGTTCGGCCAGCGTAGCAAACGGTAAACCTGCAGTCCCAGTAATCGGCAAGGGTTTGGAAACGGTAGGAAACTGGCCCTGCATCGTACTGCTAACTGAATCCTCGGCCGCGGTAGTTGTCGGAGACAACGGCGCCGATTCTTTCTTGATAAGGGATGGCATGGCCATTGTAAGCAGATACAGGATTATGCGGGCTTACACAAGCCAAAAACGGTTTGCAGTCCTGGAAAAGCGTCCCAGTTATGCACCCGCCCGTCGAGAAAGGAAAAGGCGAGAGTTTTCGGACAAAGAAGGGATCGACTGATACCTTGCAACTTGTGTGTACCGGCCACCCAATGCGAGCAAGAGTGATGAGTTCCTAATAAGTCACCGCAGTAACTGATCCATCCGGATAACGTCTACGTCTAGTTGATATTCGCGAGGATGCCTGTGTCTCCAAAGGGCCGTATATTGACCTCGTACAAGATATGATTGTCCTCTTTTGACAGGCTGCTTCTAAGTCTGATGAATCCGGTTTTCTGTTTGGTTTGCCGGAGCCTGTCGTGGGGCAGAAGCAATGCGAATAAATTAAGTGTGGCTGCGAAAGGCCAACACACACCACGGTGGTGTAAGAACTGACTCAGGGAGGCAAGCTAGCTAGCAGGCAGCAAGAGCTGAGGGGGAGTAGAAGCACTCTATCTCTATGTATATAACCTTCCGGCCAGGGGGCGAATGTTAAGCTGGCAACCCAACTTGACCGACCGCCAAAGTGGCTTTCACTTTCTTCTCTGCCTTTGCTTGCTGCTATCAAAAGGTGGCAGTCGTGTGTGCGCAAGTGGAAATAATTTCAGCGCAAAATGTTTCGTTCAGAGTCCTTGGCGCAGTCACCTTTTATAATTGACTGCTATTTACTATGCGCTATGCGGTATCGTATATCAGTATTGGTGGTAGTATGGGGGGAATAGCTATGTAGTGTTGGTATGGGGGGGAATAGCGTTGTTACGACGACGGCCATGCAATGCTCAATTCAATTCATACTAACATTACTATGATGATGATGGTTTGCTGTGTTGTGCCAGCAAGTAGTGCATGCGTGACCCAACCACCACCACCTTCGCACTTGGTTACTACTGCATGAGACCTCTCACGTTGCTGAATTTGAACGTGCCGCCATGTCAATCCAATCAACGTCAGACGCAAAATGCTGCCAATGATGAACGGACTGTGTGTGCGGCAACGTGTGTGTTCCCCCAAACCACACACCGCCAACAAGCAATTTGTGCAGCTTTCCACAACTGTTACAGAAACCCGCGATCCACACACACACACCCCAATAGGTCATATGTATTCCATGCCTATCGTATTCGGTACCACTACTAACATGACATACGCAAAAGTGTTATATATATACGTTGCAGTTTAAATTTACCTCAACTCTTACCAGAGTCTGCGGCATAAGCCGCATCAGTAGAACTTTTGGATGTTTCCAAATTTGGCTTATAACAGCAATGCGATATTCGTGGTCCTGCCCCCGTGATCCCTTGACAGAGTTGCTAAGGGCAGGTAACTTTCACTTTGCCCTGATATGATCGTCACCGCACTTAGCTTCACGCCGTCCCTGCCGTCCCTGGACTGACTCATCACAACTGCATGCAGCAAATTCCGTCCGAAAATCACCGAGTTATTGCTCGCACATCCAAGATAAAAGGATCGCTTTCATCACTTCATCAATTTGCGGCACAGGCATTTCTTGCCAACGTTCACAGGCGTATCGTATCATTTGGCACATTCTATACACATTTCCGAGGAGGCAGATGCAGATGCCGCGGTCATCTTAATTCAGCAAGATGTGCAAGCGGATGGCTTCAGCGCACGTTCCGCAGCTCTGAATTTGAAATTGAAGTGCGCGCACACACGCCAGCCGCATACTCTTCTCCACATCATCTGAGAACATCAATTCAATTAATATCATTGCATTTGCCTTCTTGATTTCAATTTCGGCCGCACGCGTTGAAATTGACATTTGCCTGGGACAACATGGACGAAGAATGTCAAAGTTTTCTGATATCAATAGGCTATTAAATATTAGTGGATTGCACATGCAGCGCGTTTTCCCACACATTTGCCATCTAGATCTACATGCACATGTAAATGATACACGTCTGCGAGAATCGTGCATTGCACGGCAAGTGGCAGTCGACAGAGGAGGCGAATGGCCGCATACGCCCCAGCACCAGCATGTCTTTGCCTACTATTGCACGCCCCGGGGCATCTGCGGTCAACACACCCCGCGGACATTGCATGTCGCGGATGCCGCGGGAAATGTGCGGCCATTTGCCTCCTCTGCCGCTTGTCGTCTCTGGCAGCTTCTTGTCTCGCAGTATCTCCCCTGTCCTTTAAAAGAGTCGCAGCATCCTTCACGTCCTGTCAACCTCTAGGCTTGTTCCATTGTCCTGTAGTTGTAATCAGAGAGCCAGTATAGTAACCGCAACGATGATTCACCCAAACCTGCCTGAAGGAAACGGTGATGAGCCATGCAAGAACATTGCCGCATCCGTACGCGGTCGGAATGAATAACCTGCTGTACAGGTACCCAGCGGATATCCGGATTGTTACTACGAAGACGTCCTTCACATTGCAAGATGCGGATCTCGTCACAAATCTCGCCAAGAGCAGCAACTCGTCGACGGCTAAAGTCCGTGTGGGTATGGCGCTTGAGGTCCCCTCCACGCCCTCGGTGCGTGCACAGAAAAAAGGAACGCTCACCCACACTCTTGCACTCTTGCAATCGAGACAGTCGTACAGCCAATAACACTCTCAAAAGGTTTTGCTGCGGTACGACGTCGATCCGATTTCCGTCAAAAGAGCAGCATAGTAGTTTTGAACCTCATCAGTAGTCGTCATCGTCGAGGCATTTCGCTGGCGGACATGCTCCCCCGTCATCTTGCGCGATTCCAGGTAAGTTTGTGTTTTGACAGTGTCCAACGCGTCGCGTATATCTGATGCTTGTCCGCCGACTCTTCCCACAAGTCTTTCCCTTCTTTCAGAGTCAAGAAACAGGTTTGCCATCGTTGGTCACCGATCTCACCAGTGGCCAAGCTGGGGAGTGTCGTTCCTGGAAGGCCGCAATTCTGCTGATGCCTTCTCTTTTCCAGCAGAGGGATGAGTTGGTGTTCACGTTCCCTGCTACGAGGTGCCCCCTTGGTTGCCAGCGACCTTCTTTGCCCAGCCTTCTTCCACTCGCCCGCAGAACCTCCAATCTCAAAGTTTCCGGTTCTGCGGCCCAAGAGCGTGACATATATCCGGTCGAGCTGTTCTCGGACGCTTGTGATGCGCTCGCTCAATCCCAGTTCTTTACATTTCTGTAAAGTGACACGGCGTGCTTCCAGGAGGAAGGCTCTTCTGCCGCTGCTGGCTGTACTTGCCAAACCGCCAATGGCACGCTACCGCCACCACGTGGACAGGTTTCGACAAAGCAATCATCTCGATTTGAAACGGTGCCGCATGGCTGTTGTATTTGGCCTTTCCAGGGTCCAGAGAGAGGACTATCAAGGTGCAATTGTCGTCGTCCTCTCCGGTCCCTGATAGGATTGGTTCAGCCACCCAATGGTGGAATTTTCGAGCAGTGATTTGCGCGGCATCCGCTCATCGTGTTCTTCCTTGCTCAAGGTCAAGGTCTGTTCCAAGAACACTTGAAAAGGGAGAGCGGCGCAACAACTCGGAGCCACGTCTGCATCCATCGCAAAGCCGCCCCGCTGCAGCGTGTGCCTTTTGTGAAGCGCCTTCCCCGGGAAACTTCCAAAAATTGCAAAACGGTCCCCGAAAGGGTTGTCTGCGCTTGTCGTAGGCGTTCCCGAGAATGGCGCTCTCCACCGAAATAAAGAGCCTGGATGCTGCGCCCCCGCGCAAGTCAAAGAACGGTAGTAAGTCTCGAAAAGCCTGGAATGGCACGTCTTTGCCGACGGTGGCCGTTAGCGGCAGACAGATGTATATTATCTCGGGATTGGGCAACGTACATTTCGAGAACTCGGCGAGGTATCCATTTTGCAAGATCGGGAGGCATTTCGCTCATGTACCTGGAGTAGCGCTCAACAAAGGAAAACGCAAGTACGAGGCTTTCTACGAGGCCCTTAGTAGTGCATCGCTTCCACCAAAGCCCCGATTATCCACAAACTAACGTGTTCCTTCTGAAGTCACTGATAACGTACATTATTGTTTTGCAAGGGATCAGGAACAAGGGAGTCCTATAGTGTAGCGGTCAGCACCCCAGACTTTGAATCTGGTAACCTGAGTTCGAATCTCAGTAGGACCTTAGAATCTTTCTTTTTTTCACCCCACTCTAATTGGGTGAGACTGTAACGCGTAAGTTGTGCCCATCACACAAAAATATTTGGACAAGGTTCTTTTCGGGTAAAATGTCTCACCGGCAATTGTGAGGCACACTCGCTGCCAGTCGCTGGCGTTGCGATGATGAGGAAGTGGCCATTTGGAGGAGCATTGTTGTCTTCTTCCTTCGCCAGCCTGTCGCTTTTACGGATTGAATTCTTACAGGTATCAGCTCAGGATACAGAGGACTGCACGCGCAAGAACAACGGAAGCAGAGGAGAATCATGAGTCCTACAGGCAGAATCGCTCAGATCGCAGGCCAACTCGTTGGGAGCAACCCTTCAAGCAGCACCGTGGGTGTCAAGTCGCCAGATGACATCGTGATTGTGTCTGCTCTGCGGACCCCTGTTACAAAGGGCATGAAGGGCGGCCTTTCCCAGACGCCTGTCGAGGAACTTTTGTATCATGTCCTGAAAGCAACCCTTGATCGTACTCGCATCGACCCTGCACTGGTTGATGACATTCAGGTCGGCACCGTCTTAACTCCAGGTGGCGGTGCAACGTTGTCGCGAATGGCCATGCTTGCCGCTGGATTTCCCGATACGACTTCGATCAGCACCACTCACCGTCAATGTTCAAGTGGCCTGCAAGCTGTGCACTACATTGCCAACGCCATCCGCGCCGGCGAGATCGACATTGGTATTGGAGCGGGTATGGAATCGATGAGTCTCAACCATGCTCAAGGACGGAAAATGGCCGAAAATGTCAGTGAGAAAATACTTGCCAATCAGGCCGCGAGTGAGTGTTTGTTGCCGATGGGGATCACCTCCGAAAACGTGGCAGAGCAGTTCGGAATCACCAGAGAGAAACAAGATGCTTTTGCCGCGAGATCTCATGCATTGGCGGCCAAGGCTCAGCAGGACAACCTTTACACCGACGAGATGGTACCTGTGCCCACCTCCCTCAATGGACAGCCTGTTACCATCACTCGCGATGATGGTGTGCGCCCAACCACGACAGTTGAAGGACTTTCCAAGTTGAAAGCTGTTTTCAAACAAGGAGGCTCGACGACCGCCGGTAATGCTTCTCAGGTTTCAGACGGTGCAGCCGCCGTCTTGTTGATGAAAAGAAGTAAAGCGCATGAGCTTGGCTTACCCATCTTGGGCAAGTTTATCACCTTTGCGAGCGCTGGCGTTCCGCCAAAGGTGATGGGGGTCGGACCCGCGTACGCCATCCCAAAAGTTCTTTCTCGCTTGAACCTTCAGCCCAACGACATTGATATTTACGAGATTAACGAAGCTTTCGCGTCGCAAGCGGTATACTCAGTAGAAAAGCTCGGTATTGATATGAAAAAGGTCAACCCGAAGGGTGGAGCCATCGCTATTGGTCACCCGTTGGGTTGCACAGGAGCTAGACAAATAGCTACTCTGCTTCCTGAATTGAAAAGAACTGGTGGCAAGCTCGGCGTCGTCAGCATGTGTATTGGCACCGGAATGGGTGCTGCTGCCGTGATTGAAGCTGAGTACTAGTGAGTAGATTGGTAGATCGTCATATGTAGATTGCAGATTCAATTAAAAAGTGACAAAGTGAAAAAGAACAGGTGGCAAGCTCAGTGTGTATTGGGACCGGAATGGATGCTGTTGGCGTGATTGAAGCTGAGTGCTAGTGAGTAGATTGATAGATCGTTATGTGGAGTTTACCGATTCAATTACAGTCGCCCAAACGACGAGTATTTGGTGCTTCAAACTGCCGCCTATCTTTCACAGATTGTTTGGCATGACTTTCATTCTCAGAAGCTAAACTCGCCTCGCGCTCAGCGCGAGGTGCAGCCATGCGACGTAGGATGCACCCGAGAATATATAATCAGCAGGTACGCAAGATGATTACCATTACCCATCACTCATCTACTTCCGCTATGCCCGCATGTAGCTCCAGCCTGTGTAAGCATCCATAAAGCAGCAACTTCAACATATTTATAATAGTAATGCTTGACAATAGAATGTACATTAAGTTCTCTTCAGCAACTGGTCTTGTCCGGACGACAACCTTCGTGGATGCTGTGCAAAGTCATCCTCGACATGTACCGCTATCTCCTGAATCATCTTCTCGCTACCAGCACTGGCAGACGATGAAATAGTCGAGTTCGGTTTCACGGCGACTCCTCCTTCCACGGCCGCCATTTCGACCTCTAACTCAACCTCGCTTCCGTCTTCGTCCTCGGAGGCGACATCACCAAAGTCGCGCCCATCCGCGGCGTCGAGGACATCCAACACACGCGGAGGAAAAAATTTGGGAAGCAGAAAGTAGCGCACCGGCACTAGGGCCGCAATAAAGACCGGAAACGACAACGCTGCCGCATTATCTGATTCCGTCACAGCGAGCGTAGCTGCCAAAAACACCAACTGAACCACCGTCAACTTGGCACAGTCTTTAAAAGGAACAGTGCGTATTTGCGGGAAAACCGCCGAAGCCACCTTTGGATCGGCAAAGAAAAGCCATGTGCGTTGCGCAAACTGGTTTCCAACAAAGGAAGCGAGACCCATGGCGAAGAACAATCCCGCGAGCACCGAGCGTGGAATGGCACCGACTATCCGAAGAATCGGAGGCACGAGCGCGACCAGCGTTAAAGCGGATTGGGCAAAGTTGGAAACGCGTTGCTCGCTCACGCGTTCCCAGACTTCGATGGTGCGGTTTGGATGAAGCGGGTTGGGGCGGATGCGGATTTTTGCTAGCGATCGCACGTGTAAAGGTGCTTGTGGAATGAGCCCGTTGCAAATTGGAATGCCCAAGAATGCACATGGGATCATCGCAATGCCCACCACGACAAAGTCCCAATTGAAAGCAGAGGGTTTTACAAGGTTGTTTTCCGGTTTCTATTTGAAGATGGAGTTAGCTCTTATTCGTAAAGGCGCTGGAAAATGACACAGGGACATACTTGACTTAGTAATGAAGAAACATTGTGGTCGAAATAGAATAGAATAGTCAAGATCAGCCCGCTGATCAATGCCGCAAACACGCCGCCAACTGATATATCACCCAGATCAACAAGCCAAGATCGTCCGCTAGTCGTAGTTAAGAACGGTTTATTCCCAGGAACGTTGAGACGGTCCATGCCAGAATGATCAATGCGCGTGATCACCACGGATAGAACGGTGGCAAACGTCACTGAAATCGGAATGGCATAGTCCGCTATGAGCCCACGCATCCATGCGCGGAGGTACAGCCAATGACGAGCCATCGCCAATTGCATGCACAACCACAAAGTACCAACGGCAAACATGAGGGCCAAAAGACCAGTTTCGAAAGTTCCCTCTTGAAAACCACGGACTACCTCCTTTCCTCCATTAAGTAGATAGACTGCAGCAATGAGACATCCAAAAATTTCGCAGCTGAATCGCGTGACAATCGACACCAGTGTGCAAGCACCGCAAACGCCCAAAATGATGTGCATCAGCGCCGACCATAGAATCGTCCAACTCAAGAAAGGCAGAAATGATAATTTCAACGAGCTTGCGAGCGACTGGACGGTTACAATAAATATGGAGACCGGTCCCGTGACGCCAATAATGATAAGAGGCTGTCCACTCAGGATGGAATATATCAGGCCTGAGAGGGCCGATGACAGGAGCACCTCAACCACCCCAATGACACTTTTCGTACGATCATCGAGGTAGAAAGCAAATGTAATGGCAGGAGCAATGTTGGCAAAAACTAAGGTCAGAAAAGCATCAGTAACGGTTGGAACAGTGCTGGTGACCAGCATGAACTCACAAATAAATATGCTGGACGCAAGGACCTTTTTGTCCTTGAATCCGTCGGTCCAATCGGATGCATAGTATGGTGCGCGGGCCTTAACTTCATTGACAACGTCCTTTATCGGACGCATCTGAGGAAGTTTGAGAGACGACTGTAAAATCGTCCGGAACGATGAGAGGTTAGACTCGAAGGGTCCTGCGCAATGCCATCCGGGCGGTACTCACCATGATGTCTGAGGATCATTTCGCTCGATCGTCAATGGCCAGTCAAGCGACAGTTCACTGCTCACACTTGTGAAGTACGTCTAAAAATTTGGGGAAATTCCTGGGCGATTTGCTTACGCAACGCGCGCAAAGTCCGCGGAGGTTCGTTCATCTTGCCAACTTGCCAAACTGCCAAGAAACCACAGCTGAACTGCCAACCGCCAGCCGTCAAACCGCCTACCTCTGCTACCCAACCGCCAAGCAGCGAAGAAACCACAGCTAGCTTCGAGTTGCAGCAGTGCTTGAAACAACGCCATTTTGCTCTCCTGGACTTGGACAATCTCACCCATTCCCATTGCCCTCTGTATTGTTGCGAAGGTAGATTTGCCAAACGGCCAAGATACACTTTGAGCAAAGACGCAAAGATGTCTGGATGCAGTGGTATACTATTCGTGATTACAATCTCAGATACCTTTGTATCGTACAATTAATTGGAAAGTCATACTTTCCTCGGCCCACATTCTACATAGAAGTTCCAACCTAAAACCTAATCTATACCTGACCCCAACCAATCATAACCTTCTCCTGAGCCATCTTGTCGTCAGGAATCATCCTGAAGATAGCTTGGACAAGACCGCCAAGACCCTCACCGGCGATCAAACCGGAAGACAAGGCGAATCCCCAGACGGCCCAGCTCGCGGGGCTCTTTGCCTCCCAAACGGTCATGATGAGAGCACCGAGTACCATGGCGTTGGAGTAAGATGTGGTGTTCAAAATCCATGCAATACCGATGGCAGAGAAGTTGGGAACCAACCAGGCGTGCTTGGCGGGGAGCTTGTGGCGAAGAATGACAGCGAAGACTGCAACAATACCCATGACGATGGAGGTGATTGCGGCGGACTTGGGGATAGCGTTCTCGGGGGCGGTAAGAACCTCTGCAATCTTCTGCCAAGCAAGCACAGAGGGAAGTTCGAACGGGCACTCATCCATGGGGACGTTGATGCAAGGGTAAGCCTTGGAGTAGACA